GGAGATTGGTTGCTTTCCATATGCTTCCTGACTAGGGATTGAACCCACAACCTGGGCATGTGCCCTGACTGGGAGTCAAACCTTTTTGGTGTATGGGACAATGTTCCAACCAACTGAGCCACATGGCCAGGGTAGAACTAGGGTGTGTTTTAAGATAATTCTTACAAGTGGGAAATGAGGTAATTATGGGAAAGAATGAAAACATTTGGGTTTAGAGCAGGATGCAGCCAGAGACCAAAGCACTACATAGATATAAAATATTTTAAACGAAATACATTTGGATACTCAGCTGGAAGGAGTTTCAACCCTTTAATTACATGATTGATTCTCCTAGCAACCAGCCCCCATCCAGCCCCTATCCTATGTGGGGTCCAAAAATCACCTTATTGTTTTATTTTTAAAGATTTTTAAAATTTTATTTTTAGAGAGGGAGGAAGAGAGAGGGAGAGCTAGAGAGAAACACATTGATGTGAGAGCAAAACATGGATCTGCTTCTTCCTGCTCACCCCCTATTGGGGATCAAGCGTGCAACCGGGACATGTCCCCTGACTGGGAATGGAACCAGCAACGTTTTGGTACATGGGACCCTCCCAACCAATTGAGCCACACTGGCCAGGGCCAAAAGTCACCTTGTTAACATAACAGGCATTTTTACTGCTTTTATCACTTAGGGAATTCCAAGGGTTTTAAGAGCCAGAAAGGAAGTTTTTATTATAAATAAATATCACAGGTAGCTTTGAGGATAAAATGAATGAATGCATAGAAAGCACTGAGAACGCTGAAACCGGTTTGGCTCAGTGGATAGAGCGTCGGCCTGCGGACTGAAAGGTCCCAGGTTCGATTCCGGTCAAGGGCATGTACCTGGGTTGCGGGCACATCCCCAGTGGGGAGTGTGCAGGAGGCAGCTGGTCGATGTTTCTCTCTCATCGATGTTTCTAGCTCTCTCTCTCCTTTCCTCTCTGTAAAAACTCAATAAAATATATTTAAAAAAAAAAAAAAGAAAGAAAGCACTGAGAACAGTGTGTGGCAGGGTTAAGAGCTATCTGAGCATTAGGGATTTTAATTATGATGGTTATTATTTATCCAGCTCTTAACCTTATCATCCCAGGCTCTGGGCAGTGCTTTGCATGATTCATCATTTTTTTTTTTTACCTTGTTTGAAACTAGCCCGTAGACTACAAGCACTGTGAGGCCAGCTTCACTATTACTTTTCCTCCTTTACAACCACCAAGATCGGTGCATGATTCATCTTTTTAACCTGCTAACAATCCTATGAGGTAGCTGCTATCGTTGTTACTGTTTTACAGATGAGGAAACTGAAGCACACAGAGGGTAACTACATTTTACACATTTATTCAGTCAGTGAGGGATCAAGAAGCACATCTAACCAGGTTGGTTTGATTCCAAGCCCGTATTCTTAGTTGCTATGCTATCTAGCTTCTAGGGACCATTAAAATGTCAAGGAAAAAAACAACAATTAAAATAATGACTGTTAAACTGAAATACAGGGCCTGGCTGGGTAGCTCAGTTGGTTTAGTGTGATCCTGATATGCCAAGATTGTGGGTTCCAGGTCAGGGCACATACAAGAAGCAAGTAATGTATGCATGAATGAGTAGAAAAACAAACCAGTCTCTCTCTCTCTCTTCTCTCTCCTCTCTCAAAATCAATAATTAAAAATAAAATGAAATACATGTTAGTAAATTGTTAAGTATCACCTGAGGGTAATATAAAATTATACAACTGAAGCCCAGAGAGGCTAAGTGACAAGGTAGAAGTCAAAGAGCCAGGTAGCTAGGGAAGGGGAGCTTGAACCCTAGTTTTTTTTACTCCAGTCCTGTACTCATTTATACTGTTACACAGTCATGTATATACACATTCATATGGATACATGTTTATATATACGTTACCTCTACATATGTTTATACACATCTATATATCTAAAAGCCTAAGTGACCATCCGACTGGTAGCTATGTCGTGCACTGACCACCAAGGGGCAGATGCTCAGAGGAGGGAGCCCTATTCTGGGGTGCATCACCCGAGAATCGCCCTCTTGCAATCAGGAACCCCCTTGGGGGATGTTGGAGAGCTGGTTTCAGCCCGATCCCCCCAGGCCAGACTGAGGGACCCCACTCATGCACAAATCCGTGCACCGGACCTCTAGTGTTTCTACTATAAAATCAAAGATATTAAAATGATAAATTTGGCATGAAAAACAAAGTATTAGATAAGACTGTTTTTAGAACTTACATTTCTCAATACAAGTACTAGTTAACCCATTTGGTAAGGCCAGAATGTAGTCTAGTTTTCATATTTATTCTGCCCTGCTTATAGTGAAAAATCCTTAATGACCCATTAACATCACAAAAGTGTTTCTCTGGGAAGAATTTATTATCTAATTTATTAATTAGATAATATTTATTATAAATTGGGAATGGGATACAGTGTTTCTTTTTATGAAAAAATATATATCCAAAATTATTTGGAAATCTATAAGCTGATAAAATTCAATCTTTAATTATATGGCAATGTCTTTCCAGGAACACTAAGTATGCAACATGTGTAATCAAGTAATTGAGAGCTAAATTTATTTCTTCTCCTACTTCTTTTTTCACAGATATGAGGATGAAGGTCATGCTGGGCAAGCTGAACCAACTCCCCCACCAGTCAGTAAACGGGGTGTCCAGAAGGAAGGTTAGCCGCCGTGCTGTCCGAGAAGAGGGTGGTGGCCGAGAAGAGGCCGCAGTATCTGCTCCCAGTACGACCACTGTCACATCCCCTGGGCACACCTGTGCTCCAGGCTCTCCTGGTCAGCAGATGTGCATGCAGGAGGCTGGAAACTGGAAAGAGGCCCAAGAGCAGTTGCTGAGATACCAGCTGGCAGGTCAAGATCAGCTGCTGCTGCTCTGTCCAGACCTCAGACACGGGAGGCAGCAGATGCAGGAACAGAGTCGGCTGGCCAAGGACGGTGGCAGCTCAGGAAGTTCCCAAGAGAAGAAAGCATCCTGTGGTGCCAGCGAGGCGTTCTGCCTTCATTCAGTCCATCCAGAAGGTATTCGGGAGCAGCTGTGACCCAGGAGCAGCGTGGGCCTTTGGGCTGAAAGTCGGAATGTTCAACATGTTTCTTGAAAATGAACAGGGGAGAGGAGGCCTGACTTATATGGACACTAAAAAGGAAGGACATGGAATCTAAAATCTCTTTTTTTCAACTTTGAAATGGGAGATAGTCATATAAATGCTTGAAGATTGAAATAATGCTAGACATGTCTTTTGTATTTATTATGGATCTTAGTCCAATGTCAGTCAAATAATAGTTTCCCAAGTATTTGTTAATATTTTACTTGTTAATTGAAGCCTGATTTTGCCATCTTAATAATGATATAACACTTACTTATACCAGTAGGGGTTGGTATTAAGCTTCCTTTAGGAGGACCACCCCAAATTCTTTGGGCTTCCCTTATTAAGGGGTCATGAGAAGATCTGGTCTGCTACGATTATTTCTGCAGTGTTACAGTAAGATTTTTTTTGTCTTATAGGAACATTTGAATGGTAAGAGATCTATCAGAACTTACCTTTTAACTAGAACACAACTTCCTGGGTTTTTCCAAGCTGATTTAACTTTATGCTTAAATGCAATCATTATTGGGAGCTCACAATAGAGCAAACATATCAAGTTTTCACCTCATGAGTACTGATACATGAAAATTGATATTCTCATGGGATTTGCTGAGATTTTTAATTAAATATAAACATACAAGAAAAGCAAGTTCGGGAAAATAAATTGTTTATAGGTCAAAGTTATTTCTAGATAGTAGTAGTAACTGGGTTACTGGGTAAAATTACAACTGGAATTAAAAAACAAAACAAAACAAAACAAAAAAAATAACCTGTGTGTTGGGAGACCAGGATAACCAAGTGGCCAAATGGATTCTCAGTTAACTCATTTATCAGAGAACTGCTTTGGCAGAAAAGTACTTCATAGAGCTGTCTGATGAGGTGGGGAAGAGATTACATGTGCAGCCTTTCTGGGCTATGCTAGAGGCTCTAATGGAGGCCAGAGTGTGGGCCAACTGGTGTTAAGCTGGGTGAGGATGCCAATGGCAATGTCACCTAATTCATACATTTCCACAGGGCCCACTGTGTTCGTACTAAAGGGCACTTTAAGGAGCGTGACTGTGTCATTGGCTCTGGATCCAGAAGGCCCTGTGCTCCGAAGGAGTAAAGCAAAGACAGCAGAGGGGAACAGGATTTTCAGAAAGAACTTCCTCTCACCTTTTCCCTAAGTACAAAACCAGGATTTTCCCACCTCCAGAAGGTTAAAGGGCTGTCCTGTGTTTGATTTAGAACAGAGGAGGGAGACAGACTCTTCTATGGCAGAATTTTAAATAAGGATGCCCTGGAATGAGCCCCATAGAAAATACTGGCAAAAATTCATCATTACAGGGCGTCAATGGGAAAATATGTGTCACCTTGCCATGAGTTGGCAGGAGCTTTCTCGGCCTCTTTGTCCATTCTTTCGGTGTCTTGTGACATCTCAAACCTTCAAGCTGCCCCTAAAGGAGATAGGCAGCCTCCTCCGTGGCACAGTGTTGAATACAGAGGGAGGAACAATTAGACGTACTTTCAAGAGATCTTAATCCAGACTCGCTGTGTTTAAGGAGGGCATGGATGGGCAATATGTCCTACAGACATTAACTGTGGAGGCACAAAATAGCTGCCTGAAGGGTAAATCCCTTTGCAGACGTATGTTTTTTGGGCACTAACAGTATCTAAAAAATATAACAACAGAAATAATAACGTGAATGGCTTAGGTGGGCTATGCCTTCTCTAGTTTAATTCATCCCAGCTATCACCTGTTCTTTATCTCATTTATGTAGCTTCCTAGTCTGAGTAATTTTGTTTGCAATCTTTAGTCCTCAAAGAGCTGTGATCTTTTTGTACAAAAACATTTTAGAAGGTAAGGCTTTTGAGGATTATACAATGGTAGGAGTCTTAGCACTACCTACTGAGGTCTGTCTACACATTCTCCCTTTCACTCTGGTGACTTCTTTCACCACCTCAAATTCCAGCCTAGATTTCTTTCCCGAGCTCTGTGCCGTATACTTAGCTGCCACTGAGAACTATCCGCTCGGATGCCCTGCAGCCTCTACGCCTTGACATGGCCTCACAGCCCCCTCCTCCTCACGCTTTCCCTAACGCAATACACCATGTCCCTGCACTCAGACCAGGCATCTAGAAATGAACCATGATTCCATGTTCTATCTTACCCTTCCCAAAGGGTCAGCTACCAGCTCTGTTATTTCTATTCCTTCTTTACTCTTCTCCTAATTTTTACTATTGTCTTATCCATCCTCCCTGTGCCAAAAGACTCACCTTTCTGGAAGGCAAGTTTGATTCTATCCTTCTGTTTAGGAATAATTATAATAGCCTATTAATTCTACCCCCAGCAAACCCGGATCCCTGTGGTCAGAATGGATTCTTTGGCTCTGAACAACAGCCACAAACATCCAGAGTAACTTGCAGGGTTCTCGAACGGGGCATGGAATTTCAGAGTCTGGCCAGAATTGCCCAAACCATAGTTAAGCCCATCCTCTTTTTCCTTCTCAAAAAATGAGAGAATTGTGTAAATGCTGGAAACAAATAGAACAGCTCATAATTCATTCATGTCTGGAAATGAGCTGATTAGATAAAGCATAACTATAGGTTGGCCAATATTAAACTTATTAAGACCATTAATATGGGTAATCCAGCAAGTATTTTAAAGCAGTGACAACCCTTTATTCAAATAAATAATTGAAAAATATCTTGTTCCTGTGTTATTCCAAAGAATCTATTTCTGCCTCCCATTTCTGATTTTTATATAAGGTGAACTCCTTTCCCCCAAGATTCTGAACAAACTAAAATTCTAGATAGTTTAAAAGAATTGTAAATGTTTATGGGTATTAAAGTTGAGAGAAGAATGAAGGAAATTAGGGTAGTTTCCACCATCTCTTGGGTTTTGGGGATTGTGTTCAGGGAAAGTACCAGACTGTGACCGAACTTCATATCTCAGGGTAAGTGACTGAGCCAATCTGACCAGGGTTGTGTCCTGCAGCAAACATGCCCATGTTATTGCCCAGTGAGGCTACTGAATACCAAAAGGCCTTTAGCTCCCTCAGGACCCAGTCCTTTCCATTATTACCTAGTTGAATCACTCCCTTCTGTCTTGCTGTCTGACTCCCAAAGTATAAAATTACTATACATTGAAATGTATGCAAACTCTATGCAAAAATGAGTATGGGGAAATTGAATGTAAATTACATGCAAATATTCAATCAAGATTCTATAAAATTGTATATGTCAATAACAGTAAAGGATTTTAATTAATTCTGTCTTTAAAACTCATGCATTTATTCCATATTTTGTTTCTGGAATTTATAATGTATCAGTGTCAACTTTGAAAGAGCTATAAGCAAAAGGAATTATACTACTGAGCATAGAAGAGTTGATTTCAACATACACTATAGCACTGTGACTAATTACATATATATTTGAGAGACAAGTCACATTTCCAGAATGTAATTTGTTAAAAAATAAATAAAACGTTTCTATGAAGTTGAATGAGATTTAAGTGGTAAAACACAGACTTGCCTGTTTACAAATATTCTTCTGGCTTTGTTATTTATAGTCCTCAATAAAGACCAAGATTTCTTTGCTTGGAACAATTCAAGAAAAAGTAGATTCTGCCCATCAATCTGGTCTGCTTTGAGACAGAAGGTTCATTTAATGCAGTTGTAGGACTTTCTGAAATCTAATTGGATTTGAAAGAGTGATTCTTTAATTCTATATAGGCCCCTTCAGATCTCTTCACAAATTGTTTGAAAGACTTTTATTCACACATTTCATTACTTCCTCGGTTTTCATTCACTGCACCATGGACTTCCCTCTGCCTTCCAACCCTTCCACGGAACAGAGACTGCTCTATGGCAATCACCAGGAACTTCCGTTTTTCCAATTCTCAAGAATGATTCTCTATCCTCATCTTACATGACACCTTGGGAGCATCTAGTCCAGACTTTCTCTTCCTCTTTTTGGACCACTTTTTTCTCTAGGCTTTTGTGATTACTTCTCTCCTTGATTTCCTGTTATGTCACTGGATACACCTTCCAAATAAGTGGTAAATAAGCCTATTTTAGCTTCTCACCCCAAATCTTGTGAGACCTTAAGAAAAAGATCCAGTTGAGCCTTCAAAGTCTTTTGACCTAGAGAACTGAAAGCTAACGAGCAGGTGGTGTTTTGTTGTTTTTACTAATTTATTGAGGCCCTACTGACATGTAAAAAGCTGTACATAGCTAATGGATAAGTATACACCCATGAAATCATCCCTACCATGGGAACAGTAAACATATCTGTCACCTCCAAAAGTTTCCTCCCACCTCTTCCTCCTCCTCCTCACTATTATTAGTAGTAGTAGTAGTAATAGTAGTAGTGATAGTAAGAACACCTAACTAACATAAGATTAAAGCTCTTAGAAAGTTTTAAGTGTACAATACATTATTGTCTGTATAGGCACTATGCTATATAGTAGACTTTCAGAACTTGTAAAAATGAAACTTTGTATGCTTTTTCCATCATCTCTCCATTTTTTCTCTCTCCACCTCCCCCCACACTCTAGCAATCACCATTCTTACTTTCTGTTTCTATGATTATGACTATTTTAGATTCCACATATAAGTGAGATCATACATAATCTGTCTTTGTTTGGCTTATTTCACTTAGATAATGTTCTCAAGGTCCATCCGTATTGTTGAAAATGACAGAATTTCCTGCATTTTTAAGATTAAATAACATTCCACTATGGGTATTGTTTTAAGTCACTGAGTTTCTGATAATTAGTTACTCAGCAATAGCAAACTAATACAGACACTATGGTTTCACACGCACACACACAAATGATGGTGGGGAGCTTAGTCCTCTGCTCTTGTCCTTGTTCCTTTGGGCATGTATCACTTCCAGTCCTTCAGAAGCTTAAACTCCTCATTTAATCATAGGTTCCCCTCGGCATCACAACTGCCCCCTGTGGGCAGCTGGGTCAAGTCAGTTCCCAGGTGCCTTCCCAGGTTTCCCACCTGCACACTCACTCCTTCCGGTGTGGAGGCGGCCCGCTCTCAGGTGATCCAGCCACAATGGATTAAATCCTGACTGTTCTTTTTCTCTCGCTCTCTCTCTTCTGTCTTTCCATTTCCCAGTCTGTTTCCCCAGCTAGATTCTACAAAAGTTATTTGCAGCATCCCCATCAGTTCCATGAGTGACAGGAGACTAGTGTCAAGTGAGAAAATGAAATGTAAATTTTATTAAACACCCCCTCTCATCTCTGCGTATCAATCCAGATTCCAGCCGAACACAGCAAATCAAATCCCGTCTATGCCAGGCCTCGGGGCACACGGAAAATCATTTCTCCTTACTACCATCCCCTTCTAGTAAAATATTTTTCTGTTTGGTAAATGAAAATTTCAAATGCAAACCCTGTTTTAATCCCAGGGAAAAGCATATCTTCCAAATGAACATCTGAAGGAGGGAGCAGGAGAGGAGGGAAGACTCCGGGACCAAGGAGAAGTAGAAGAGGGCTGGGCAAACAGAATCATATTTAGCTGTGTCATGTGCCAGCCTGCCTGGTGGCTGTGCAGGGATGCATTATCCACAGAATAAATGGAGTCATTCTTTGAAAGCTTGGACCATCAGGACATTTATCTACATGCTGTCCTGTCTAGAAATAATACATTTCTTAAATCTGATACAATGCCTTGAAATAGCATTAGAAATATAGATGCTTCATTCTGGGTGTGAATATGGGGACAACTACTGACTTATATGAGGTTCTGCGGGGGGGGGGGGGGGGCTTCATGCAAAGAACATCTTCATTAGGGTCCTTAAAAGCACGATTAACTTAAAAATTTACAAAGCACACTTTGGCCCTAGCTGGTTTGGCTCAGTGAGTAGAGCCTTGGCCTGCACACTGAAAGGTCCTGGGTTTGATTCCTGTCAAGGGCACATGCCTGGATTGTGGGCTCCATCCCCGGTAGGGGGCATGCAGGAGGCAGCCAGTCAATGATTCCCTCTCATCATTGATGTTTCTATCTCTCTTCCTTCCTCTCCAAGATCAATAAAAATATATTTAAAGTAAATAAATAAAAAGCACATTTTGTACATTATGGCAAAAATAGAACAAATTAAATTTTTAGCCAATTTTGAACAGTAAAAATAACATTACTCTTTAAAATATACACTACATTTTTCCATATTCCACTTAAAATACTTAAATAAAAACTGTAAATACGGCTTTATGCTTAAAAAGAATGTAATTTATTTAATCTACATTTTTTTTAATTTGCTCACTTTAAGTGGGCAAAACCAGTTTTGAAATGGCAGCTTGTCAGGAATCTATTTGTGTTTGGACCACCTGCCCTGATTTGTCTGAGACTGGGGAGTTGCCTGGGATTTGGGACTTCAGTGTCCAAACCAGGAAGTCCCTGAAAGTTCTAGTCAAATGAGAAGCATTAGCCACCCTAACATATTACCATTGTAAGTAATATAAAACAGCAATTCCTCATACTCCAATAATTGTTAGTATTGTAGACTTTATTTTTGGACAATGTTCTTGAGCTGAATGAACTTATAGCTATATCTGGATGTGATCTCCTTGGTTCGGTCAACTTGGCTAACAGAGTTCAGGCTTCCAAAATCTGTGAGGGCACAACCCAAGTATTACTATTGCTATCTGAGAAAATGGCATTCTTACTCTCTCCTTTCCTTGACTTGCGGTTAAGCTTAAAAAACATTCTTCTTGCCATGGCCTGGTGGCTCAGTTGGTTGTATTAGGGGCAAAAATAGAATATCAGGGACTAGCTATGGTTATGGGAAATGTTAATCATACTCTGTTAACTGTCATTGCCTTGTTCTGGTTAAAGAAAGGGCATTCTAACCTGGCTGGGAGTTGTATGCCCCTGGGACCTGGGAGTCAACCTTGGAATGCAGTCCATTCTCATTCAAGAATTGCCTATTATCATGGAAAGATTAACAAGGTTGTTGCCCAAACAATGGAGTCCCACTACAGCCTGCATAGCCTACTTCCTCATGCCTGTTAGCCCTACTTCCCCAGGTAATCTTTGTTTTATCCTATATAAGCAGTGGCTTATGGGAGGTGGCTGACCTGCTGTTCTCCCATACTGCCAGTGGTATTGGAATAAATGCTCATATATGATTCAACCCTGTCTCTGCTTCGTTGGCTCAAGTAGTGACAGGCTGCCCAGACCCATTGGAGCATCTTCCTGTGCACCAAAAAGGTTGTGGGTTTGATTCCAGGTCAGTATACATACCTAGGTTGTGGGTTTGATCCCTGATTGGGGCGCATATGGGAGGCAAACTAATCAGTGTTTCTCTCTCATATCTATGTTTCTCTCTTTATCTCTGTCTCTCTCTCTCAAATCAATAAGCATATCCTCAGGTAAGGATTTAAAAAATTAAAAAGGACAATAAAGTCCCTAAACTATTGACAAAAGAGAAATAATTAAATCAAGATTGGGACATCCATATAGTTAAAAGTTTTGATTCATTAAAAATTATGTTGACAAATGGTAATTACATAAGAAATCCATACTTTTCAGTATTAAGTTAAATATACAGTATGCAAATAGACTACTGTCTCACACCAATGTGTGTGCATATATTTGTGTCCATATTTATATATGTATGTGTTAAAAGAGTTATCTCTGAAAGATGGTTTTATCTTATTTTTCATTGTCTTCTTTGTTTTTGTTTTATTCAGGCTTTCAACAATTAACAAGCTACCTTTAATCAAATAAAAACATAGTAAGTTCTGCTTAAAAGAGGATGGGCCCTGGCCAGTGTTCTCAGTGGTTAGAGTGTCAGCCCACCCAAGGAAGAGTCTGGGATTCATTTTCCAGTCAAGGGCACCTACTTGGGTTGCGAGTTTGATCCCCATCCCAGTCAGGACGTGCAAGAGGCAACCAATGGATGTGTCTCTGTCACATCGATGTTTCTCTCTCTCTTTCTCTCTTCCCCTACCTCCTTCCCTTCCAATCTCTCTGAAAATCAATGGGAAAAAATATCCTCCAGTGAAGATTAACACACACACATATGTGCACGTACACACACACACACACACACACACACACACACAAAATAGAGGATGAGAGACCACAGCCTCTGTAATGATAAACAGTGCCAACCGTGCAAATGCCCGTTGGTGCAAATTCACTGAGATGTTTCCTTCTTGCCCCACTGAGGGAGAGACAGCTGAGGAGAGCTGAGCAGAATCCACAGCCTGGAGGAGTCGTGGAGAACATGCCAACCATGAGGCCATGGAACCCAAGGCCCCTTGGCGGGTCTTTGTTACTTCCTGCTCCTATTATTTTTGTTGTTGTTGTTTGTTTTGTTTTTAAGATTCTTTTATTGATTTTTAGAGAGAGGAAGGGAGATGGAGAGAAAGAGAGAAACACCAATGTAGCGTGAGACACTGACTGGCTGCCTTCTGCAAGCCCAACACTGGGGATCTAGGCCTCAACCTGGGCATGTGCGCTGACTGAGAATCAAATCGCCACCATTTCGGTGCCCAGGAGGATGCCCAACCAACTGAACCACACCGGCCAGTCCATTCCTGCGTTTATTCTTCACCATCGTCACCCTTGTCCAAAATTTGGATGAATGTAAGTCTGCTCATTGCAGTACAATAGAGTTTTCCCCACCAGACCCAACTGAGGAAACGCTATTCTTATTATGCTGCTCCTTGCAGGAGGCTGGCTAAGAAGCGTGCGGTAATGTGCAGCTGGCAGGATGGAAGTGGTAATAAACACGAGCGTTGACTAGACTCAATATTAGTGTTGGTGCTGGGGAGTCGTCCTGGCTTTGGGCTGCCTGAAGGCAGTGG